ATAAGATGGCTCACTTAGGTACCTGTGTGCCGAGTGAAAAAAAATCACACTTTTTTTTCATATCTTAGTGACCTTTATACTATGAAGGATACAGTTGAACCCAGACAAATGCGACAAATAAAACGATTAGAAATGAAAAATGGATTTGTGAAAACACTCCCTGTAAACTTGAGAAACCTCTGATTTAGGCCTGATGCTGAAGAGTTTAGTATCATTAATTTGCCTGGTAAGATGAACCACTGATGAATCTCCCCACACACCCTAAGGGACTTCAACCTCCCAAATACCAGCCCTACTGCCTGCTATTACACTCTTAGGCCTCCTTTCCCTCCTGTCTTGGAGGGTTTTCCTTGTTCAAGATTTCTTGAAAAAGCAAGTAGCACTGGAGGCAGTTGGAGGGAGGCGGGGGAGAAGAGAAAAGACATATTTAAGCCCCTTATTTATCTCGGTTCTTCATTTTCCAGGAGCCTATTGCACGAGCAGAGCGTGCTGAGGAGGGGCGCAGAGCAGTGAGAAGGACAGGCCAGAGGGGAGGGTAGTGGAGGGGACCGGCGGGAGGAGAGCGAACATGAATTTGGTCACATGCATCTCACTGGATTTGAACAGTCTATGAGTAATTGTTATTCCCCTTTTATTGATGAGAAAATCAAGGCTAAGAAAAACTGACTCAATCTTACCCACGTTCTTTTACCCTGCTATTTTCCTTGAGAATATTAATTTCAACATTTTATGTAAAGGCAGGGTATAAATTATATATTTTTATATACATATACACACATATATATATTACTGTAATTATATTAAAAGGACCAAGTGAAAACATAAGAAAAAGAATATAAGCAAATGCTAATAAACTGTGGTTTTGGGAGGTGGGGTAAAGGATACCTTTTCTCTTATCCCTCATTTTCTGTGGTTTTCCATAATACGCATGATTGCTTTTATATCGTCATCAGCAATAACAATAGCAACAGCAACAAAAGGATGGATTGCTTTAAAAAGGAAAGGATCTTTTGTTTCTTGGGTGAGCAATGTTCCTCTGGTAAGGTGGAAGGCTTGTAAGAAATTTATGGAAACAAAGACCGGTATTTTAAAGCCTTCTTTAGTCAAATAAAACCTATAATGAAAAACTTGCCATAAACTCATGGAGTTTGCATTTGGACTCTGTCCCACAGTTCCCCCACCAGAGGAAAAAGGAACGAATTAGGGAGACTCAGTGCAAAAGAAAACTGGTAGTCTGCTCCATATGATATTCTGCACACCCCTGCATCCCTTGGAAAGCAAATATTTGCATCCGTAGTATAATCCATTACCAAGATTATTTGTGCCTCCAAAATACCAAAGGAACCAATCAATTCCTTTGGAATATACAGTCAGTGATTCAGATATTTTATCTACCCAGTGCCCCACGCCAGAAATGACCAAACTGACAGCTCTTCTGGCACTGTGTGGATAGAGCTGAAATGTGACAAATGGGATCATTTAAACTGTATCTCTTCAATATCAAAACAACCAATGGTAAAGCCAAAGATTTAGTCAATCAGATAATCCTTTGTCTAAGTTCCAAGTTCCAAGCCATTATTTTGAGTAATTCCTTTGATTCAATTTACCAAATATTTAGTCAGTTTCCTAAAATATAATAAAATCTCTAAATAATAGGGAAAAAAAATCTCTGATCTGGATTTTCTGCATGGGGGATAAAAGTTAAAAACAAATAAAAATGCACATTTATCCCTTACGTATAAATACTTTTTTATTTCCTTTTTAAATGGAGTTCTCTTAGGCTATGCACATTTGACTTTAATAACTTGGTTAGAGAGACCTGTCCCAGACAGAATATTTATTAAAATGTAAATTAAACTTGCCTGAAAGAAAAAGAATGCAGAGAAAATACTGAAACAAAAGACTCTTGGTTATAGGAGGTGGAGGCTTGAACCTTTTGAAGATTTGAGAAAAGAACAATTTTAGAAGAGAAAAAAGCCAAAGGAAAGGCCCATTGATTTTGGACAAAACTGGTTCCCTTGCATGGCTCTCACCCCTACTCATCAGTCGGGGCACTCATGTCTCCTAGGCTCCGAGCCCTGGTGTGGGGCTGTCTTCAGCTGGTGCTTCTGTTGTGTTCACACCTCACCCGTTCTTTCTTTGAAACATGTCTCTGGTTCACACCTTCCTTTAAGTTCTCCTGATGGAGAATCTCACTACTTCATGCCTGAATCACCACCAACAATTTCCAAAGTGGCCTTTCTGTCACCTGACTCCTGCCCTCCAAATCTGTCTCATCCCCATATTGATCATCCCCTCCAAACCAGGTTGCTCGCTGTTGCTTCCTGCTCACCACCCTCCTTGTTGGTTGCCTCTATGCCAAGTTAAAACTCCTTTCTCTGCCTGATAGTTGGGATCCTTCACAGCCCCTTAGCTGTCTCTTAAACACACACACACACACACACACACTCCTAATTAATGCAATCTTCCTTTTTACTGCTCCCCCAAATATGTCACTCATTTTAGTCAACCAGATCACTCGACACCATAAAAATCCCACCCGTGGGCTCTTCCTTGTCTCCTTTCCAAACCCGTAACATTCTCATCCCAGCCAGGTCCTTCGTGTGTGGCGTGCTATCCCTCTTGACTTTTACTTTCCAAATTAGCTCCATCCTAATGGAGCCTACTCAAATGCCACCTCTTCCAGGGAGCCTTCCCTGATCACTTTAGCCCCACAGTTTTCTTTCTCTTCTCTGAACACCCATCCCATCTCCCATCAAGACTGAATTTCATGACATATTACTTCAGTGCACTTCTGTGGATTCATATACTATCCCATGTCTCTCAGCGGGGGTCTTATTGCCATTTGTACCAGGGCACTTCTTCAAAGGGCAGGACTGACTGGCACATTTCGGGACATTTGAGGCCCCTCCCTCTTGAAGGCTCTCTGACAGTGTTGCGATTGTGACAAACCCAAATGCTCCGAATACATTTCCAAATGCCTTAATAATTAAAAAGTTCCTTAGAGAAGTTACTAGAACATATACACATCTGTTCAACAGCTAATCTGTTTAAATGGTGAATGTGTATAGTATTTTAAAGAATGAATCCATATTTGTCTTACAGTTGCCAACACAATATAAAACTAGGAAAGAGGCTAATTGTCAGGTGTTAATCACCACTCCATTTCATAAGATGTTCCACTGAACCCTCATTGCAACCCCGGAAGCTGCTATTGATCCTCCTTTTCTAGATTAGGAAACTGAGGCTCAGAGAGTTCTGCCTATTCAAGGTCATACTATTCGATTAGAACCCTGGCATGTAAGCCCAGGATTGTTTGGAGCCAAATCTTTGACTTTTTCTTCTATCACCAGCCTCTATAAAGGCTCTATAAAGCCTATCTGTAACAGCTTTGAATTAGGAGTGTGAACATGTAACATAATTAGCAATTTAAAGCACATTATTAATGCTGATAGGTACTAATGACTATAATTGAGAAGAAGGACATTAGACCAGACAATTTTTTTTTAGAATTTACAACAAGAATATAAATTGGAGTCTAATGAACAAATTTACTCACTGACCCTTGCTGCAGACATTGACCCATGTTTGATCTCAAATTGAGATGTACATATTCTTTACCTTCTTACTGTATTTGTTAATGTTTGTCTTGGCAGATGGTCAACAGCTCTAAGTTTCCCTTAATCAAGTTCTGGGTAACGGATGGCCAAACAAGCCTTGTATTAGGTAGCATTGCTAGACCCAAAGCAATAGGAATCCAAGAGCCGGCAATAGTTCTCAGGTCCTTCCTGTCTGGTATCCTTAATAAAAAATGTTCTGTTAAATCAAATCTCAAAGTATCATTTAAAATGGTGTATAGACTCCCTTTAAGTTATAGTTCCTTATTCATTTCATGCATATCTACAACACCCACATTTATTAGCAGCTCATTTCAGTGTGTGCCCATATGTCCAATTAAAATTCTTCATATATCAGCTAATCTAGAGTTTCGGAAGTAATAGCATGTATATAATCCATATGCGTACTTTAAAAAGTATGCTCAGTTTCTATCTAAGCACACAGGAAGAACTGTATTCCTTGCAGGGGGAAAAAAGAGAGAGAAAGAGCCGGTATTGCTGATTTCAAGTTTTCTTTCTCAGCTATGAGAATAAATGTTTCCTATGTACTTATTCTGTTCAGCAAAGAAGCAAAAGGAACTGAAAGCTAAGTTCATTAAGTAACTTAGAACAATTGTGTAAATATAGCTGAAAATGTACATGATATACAAGTATTTTATTCCTATATTGCCTTATAAACTGTATCTACTGTAACAAAGTTGCACTTCATCCACTAGGAAAACCACTATTTAGCTGTAACCACATCCACATTTGGTGATCTGAAAGCTAAAGGGATTTTTAGTTACGCTTACCAGGAGAAACACATTTAAAAAAATGTAATCATTCTTTCTAACCAATGAATTGAGGTTGGTGTTAGCCTTTTTACCAGAACATTTCCTAAGGAGAGTGCATTTTCCATTTCTGCATGCTGGGACACTTTGTAGGGAGCTGAGGGAGAAGGTGATAGGCTCTTTCCCCACTAAAACTAGTAAGCCCAGGACCGGGAACCCCTCTCAGTTATTAAATCTCAGTGAGAAGCTGTAGAACGGTAGGAAAGTTTCATTTTTGCTCTGACTCATCTTTTCTCCAACTATCTTATCAAATCTCTGTCATGCCATAGAATTCTTAAAGCTACCCAGCTGCTCCCCAGAGAAGCCACCAATGGTGCAGGTATTTCGATTACATTTCCCAGAGAATCGCACACATTTTAAAAGTGGATTTCTAGAGTTGCTGTTTATATTTCCTTCTATCCTCCCAGCACCTCCACTGATACCTGCTGGTGTGCTCTCACATTTCCCCCACCTATTTTTAGATCTTCGGTTGCTTTAGAGATGGATTTCACATGTAAAGCAGACGCTTACACTGTGAAACATTGGCATGATTGTATTTTGATTTTGCCGTCAGCTAAGGAGGGCAAAGTTGATGCCATCCTGCAAGGAACTCTATCCCACACTGTTTCCGTGGACTTGCTGGCTCAGGTTTGCTTACCTGCTTCCTCGAAGATACTGTGCTGCTGAAACATCTATTAGAGGTCTTTGAGTTCAAATTCTTGTTCTGATGGGTTGAGTCGTTTTTCCATGTCTTAGAGTTTTCTTTAGGATCTGAAGGAATGGGATTTAAGAAGAGGATCCTAGCTATGAATCCGTAGAGGACGGTGGCCAGTATCATTGGCACAACATAAAAAACACCAAAGTCCATTAGGTAAATAGGTGAGTAGTAATTCCTGGAGATCTTGTAGCCACAGGACACCACAACAGCATCTTTGTAGGTGCTAATGTTGAGATCCAGCAAGAAGAACCAGAGCATACAATAAATGGATGTGAAGGCCCAGACAAAGATGATGATCTTTTTGGCTCTGGAAAATGTGCAGAGAAACTGGGCTTTGATGGGGTGACAGATCGCTATGTACCTCTCGATGGTAAAGGCTGTGATGGAACAAGAGGATGCATTAATGCCCAAGTACTGGAGGTAAGTGATGCAGAGGCATCCGACGTAGCCGTAGACCCAGGAACCATAGATACTGTCTGTTATGTTGGGGAGGCCTGCAGCCACCAAGACCATGAGATCGGCTACTGCCAGACTCACCAGGTAGCAGTTTGTGGGGGTCCTCATGTGCTTGGTTCTCATGACCACCAACACTACCATGATGTTGCCCACAATGCCCAAACCACAGATTATGAGCACAAGTAAGATGGTGACCACTTGGTACTCGAGGGCCACCACCGCTCTTGGCTGAAGCTGTGTTTGGTTCAGTTCACTTACTGTCTCGTTTTCCATCTTCACAGGTTTGAAGTTTCTCTGAAACACTTCTCAAAACATCCTCTTCCCGGTGGCCTTCCTTTATCTCAGCTGTTCTCTCCCCCTGTGAAGAGTTAGAGTCCAAATTCATTCACAGCGTCCCCGTTTCAAATGGAGCCCGTCACCGGCAGGTAGCTCTTTTCCTCTGCTTTCACCTCCCGTGTTTCTCCAGTAACAGGGCTCGCATGTACTTCTGAAAACTCCCTTTATTGCAACTCTAGTGTAGGATGGAGGAACTGTCTTTAACCAGCTTAATAAGAGGCACCTGTTTCCTCTTAATGGAGAAAAAATGCGGAAGAGAAACAGAGGAAGCTCCCTACTTTGAAAGGGTGCCCAGAAGGAAAAGCTAAATGATATCTGCTAGCTGAAAAAGAAATACAAAGAAACCTCTCAGATGCTTGGGAAAAGTGTAAAGAGGAAAAAGGGACCAGGCGTGGGGGGAAAGCGGAGAGGCTCAATGATGAAGCTTGGTAGGAATTTAGAGTTTGCCTCCTTTGCTCTCAGAGGGTGGGATCGCTGGGCTACAAAACCCCCAAGTCTTTGAGCCTGCGTCTCCCCCTGCCGCCCTGCCCTACCTTCCCCATAGCGACCAGTTTCTTCTCTTACCTTTCCCTCAGTAGCGCTGCCTGCTTTTTTTTTTCCGGTGGATGAAGCAGTAGAAAGTGCAAGTTTCCAATCCCGCAGGAGGTCTGGTCTACTTTGCGGACGGGGAGACCGCTTTGCAGCGCTCAGTCCTCAGCATCGCAGTTCCTCTGAACCCTCTGGACCCTTTGCGAGTGTGGCCCGAGCACAGCCGAAGCTGCCGGAGCTGCCTGGGGAGCCGCGGGGCGAGCCTGTCAAATCAGAGAGCGTCCCCTAATGAGCACACACGCTCTCTCCCTCTCTCCCGCCCTCTCTCCACACACCGCCCAACTGCCTGTCCTTTCTCACTGATTCATTATCTTCTCCCCTTGAAGGATCTCCTTTTAAATGTGCTGATGACTCCGTCCTCCATCTGGAAGGCTGAAATCCTAAGCAAGGGGTCCGGGAGCGGCGGGGACTGCACTTGCTTCTAGTTTAAGTCCTGCAGGAACTCCAGGACCCGAGCAGCCCTGAAATATATTTAACACACCCTGTGTGATAGGACTTTGGGGAGAGCAAATTCTTCTCAGTCCAGACACAGCCCTTGAAGCTTGAAATATCTGTCTGAACTGAAATCAGCTGCTTTCTCTAGGATGGAAACCCTTAAACCGTTTCTCCAGTGAGCCAGTGAGGATGGCCCCCTCCTCTTGTGTTATATGAATGGAAGATGAGTTGAAATTGATTTTAAACCATTTCAGCTGCACTCTGCCGAGGCTTGTAAAATTATTTTTCTAAAAACTCTTTGAGCTAAGAACACGGACTTAAACCTACGTATTATCTGTTCAGTTTGTTTTTCAACTCTGGCTCTGCATCACTTATTAGAATCTCTCGACCTGTTCCAGGTGCCTCTCCCCTCTTCACCCACCTCCGGTATACCCACCACTGTCCCACTCAGCAACGTTTAGTGTGTATTTATCTCTAGGTGAAAATATCCCGTGGAAATCTAGGCCAGGGCCACTCTGGTACCACAGCTCCGAAAGGAAACTTCATGGATGCTTTTTTAGAAAAGTGTACTTCAGCTTGACTTTTATTGCTCTAAAGTAGCCCATGGGCAAATCCTTACCGTTTTTTATAGAGGCTCAGAAAACGTGTCTCCCTTCCACAGGCACCAGCGGAATATACGGAATGTTAATGTTTGTCCACTTTTATTTTATGAACTGACACGAAAAACCAGCCCTGAACAAAATTCCTTATATGGTGAATAGTTTGATTCTCCGTTTTAAGAAGTTTAGATGTTCTTCCTTCTAGATGTCGATGGAAGTGTAGATTTAGAGTATACAGAACCATGGGGATATCAAAACCATGTGCAAGGCTAGGTACCAACAAGATGAAGGTGAAACTCTGGATCGTACTGGGTAATCCCACCCTCTGAACCACCGAGGGCTCCTTGACTATCTACTTCTCTTTTCAAAGCATCATATCACAAATGAATGACCCACGACCCAGATTCAGCTTTGAGACATTTATTGTTTGGTGTGTACAGTGTAGGCTCAAGTGTGATTTAAAATGATTTGACTGTTGTCTCCTTTTCAAAACTGGGAGATTGTATACTAACTCTGAATTTCTGCCTCTCATAAAAATTAGAAAGATCAGACAATCCTGGGCCTCTATTCCTGAATAGAAATAATCAGCTGAAGTTGAGTTGTGGCAGGGGGCAGTGGTGTATGGGGGTCCTTCATACAGGATGTGCCCTCTTGGATTTTCCTCAGCCCTCACTTCCTCCCTATTTGTCTGTCACGCATGCTAGCTTCCCTCAGTCATCACACATTCCCGGCCTCTGTAGCCATCTGAGGCTTGCAAGTTCCTCAGAGACAGTGGAGGGTACCAGCCAAATGCACAGTCTCTCACCCCGAGTAGGATTTCTGCTGGCACTCTACTTTCCTTCCCCAACTGCTTCAGCACACTGGGTAGCAGATGCCCTTCCTGCCTCTCTCTCTGGACTAGAGGACAGAGGTTACTCTGAACACCCCATTTCTTGCTTAGCCCTTTACATTTTGGAATAAAAAATTGCTTCCCAGGACAAGGCACTGCCTTCCTTCTCCACCCCAACCCACCACTCCAACCCAGAATATCTCTTGAAAAGTCATAGTTCATATAGCCCATCTTCCCACTCCTCCCCAGGATTTGAGCTTTCAGGACTCCTGGGAAGACTTGACTGCAAATCTTACTCTTGGGTAGTAAAGGTGAGGGGAGAGAGAGCAGCCATAATGCTCTCGGCTCTGGCAACTCCAACTCCATGCCAAATCTTACCATATTCCTCACTGTTTCTATATGATGTCATCATTCTGAGTCTCTATTTTGTATCTCTATTCATTTTTTTAAAGATTTTATTTATTTATTTATTTATTTATTTATTTATTTATTTATTTATTTATTTATCAGAGAGAGAGAGCAAGAGAGTGAGAGAGAGAACACGAGTGGGGTGGAGGGGCAGAGGGAGAGGGAGAAGCAGACCCCCTGCTGAGCAGGGAGCCCAGTGCGGGGCTCGATCCCAGGACCCTGAGATCATGACCTGAGCCGAAGGCAGACGCTTAACCAACTGAGCCACCCAGGCACCCCTCATTTTTGAGCACATAATTGTTACGCTCCGACTATGTACCAGGCACCTAGTATGTAAAATTTTGTTTTTATCTTCGCATAGGTCATGGTCTATTGGGAGAAGCAGACTTACAAACAGTTACAGGGAGAAATGCACTAACAGCTTATGTTGAGAGCGTTCAGGTGTGAAGGGAAAGGCATCTGTCGGTGGTGGGGGCCACATTATAACCAACCACGGCTTTTATATCTTTTGAGTACTTCTGACTAGAGAGAAGTTTGAAAACAGTCTAGTGGTATCTGTTTGGAAAAGACTGGTGAGTCCTGAGTACAGCTGTGTAGATGGCAAACCCACACACCACACATTCGCTTGGCAAGTCTCCATTCCTGGGACACATTGGCTGACGTGATATCACACCTGCCGGGCCTGCCTGTCTCTACGCAGGAAGAATTAGGGCAAGCCCCACCCTTATTTCTGGAGGTGATCTTAGCTACCTAGGGAGGAGGTCCACAGGTTGTCATGAATCCATGAGTAGATAGATGATTATTTATACCATCAGCCTTTCTTAAACTTTAGCATGCATCTGAATCTCCTGGAGAGCTTACTAAAATCTAGATTCCTGGTTCCATTCCCGAATTGCTGTTTAAGTAGCTCAAGGATGGGACCTGAGCCTTTCTTACAAACATTTCTTATAAACTTCCAGGTGATGCTGATGCTGTTGGTCTGTGGACCACACTTGGAGCAACACTGACCTAGCTCAATTGTTCTAATGTGGGAGGTGGGGAGCAATGATGGATCAGAGTCGCCTAGACAGAATTTTAAAAATGTACATACTAGCTTAGTCCTCCTATATGTTTTGGGTATAGGTGTATTCCTATAATCGGACTCAGGCTTGAGAAAGAGATTGGAACTTTGGACAAAAGCAATTGACTTGTATATATACATATATGTGTGTGTGTGTGTATATATATATATATATAAAATGTGTATATTATATATATACATATTACATGCAATATATATTACATATATGTAATATATACATTATATATATTACATGCAATATATATGTATATATTATATATGTTTCTCTATCTTATACTGTCATAACTGGAGCTTGGCTTGGCAGGTGGAAAATTGTTGGGAAAGAATATCTGTGCTCACTTCAGTCAACTGGCACTAGGGTCAGAGGTAATGCAGAGCATGTGACTAGGTCAGTGGTTTGTAGGACCCAGACCAGGGTGAGGAGAAGGCAACATTTCAAGGAGACACCAAAACCTCAGTGATTAATAGAATCAATATCTTCATGGACTATTTTTTAAATTAAGATAAATGCAAACAAGTCTATGATGAATAACATATCAAAATTTTAAATAAAGACACTATCAATATTATGAATTTTTCCCTTCCACCTCAGGCTCCAAGTACTGAGCCTTTTTTAAAATTTTAATATTTTGCTTATTATGGATTACTTTGCATTCATTTTTTAAAAGATTTTATTTATTTATTTATTTATTTATTTATTTATTTATTTATT